GTTAACTTCAGAGTAGGGTCTGACCTGCTCTGTTTGGAAAGCGCTGTAAGACGACTGTTGTTGTGATGTGGCGATATATAAATAAAATTTAATTGAATTGAATAGATGTTGCCCAGCTCCAGCTTCCAGATGTTCCCCAGCTCCAGCTTCCTGGCTAAGAAGCCGTTTTAAATCGGCTCTGTGTTTTGATTTAATTCTGGTTAAACATTCACCATGTTGGATTTGGAGTTTTGTAATTGAACCTGGATGAAAATGACCCAATTTTCACATCAGCTTTTCCCCACAAACGAGAACCCAGACCAGAGGCACGTGGACGGGGATAAAAAGCCAACCCTGAGGGTACCTGCAGCCCCCGTCTTCACGTCGGTGTAAACAGCAAACTCCTCTGCTGTGTGCGGCCTCCCTGTTAATCCACAGAGAAGAACATCAGGGTCACTCACGCCGACACTCTGAGCGGGTCTGTGTGGAACTCACCCGTCTCTCCCATGTTCTTCAGCTCGATGACCGAGTAGATGACGTCTTTGGGTGCAGCAGCTCCTGAAACATTTCAGGTGTTTGTGTCATTGACCGATCCTCGCCCCTCCCCCCCCCAAACCCCCAAATGTCTGCGTTTCTGAGAGGTTTAAAGTTCTACTGTACCTGTTAAGTTGTCAGAGGGTTCGGTGGACTCATAGAGGGCAGCGTTGGCTACTGAGGAATAAGAAAAGAGGAAAAGGGATGCTTTAATGATGCATGAATACAGTTTTTAACCCTTTAAAGCCCAATACAATAAAAAAAATAGGGAGAATTTCTGTTTTTGGAAGTCTTTATTTGACCCTTCACAAAATATATGAGAATAACAGAAATAATTTTTGAATATTCATCATTTAATACCTTCTGCTAAGTCAAAATGATAGTAATAATAGTCTTCTGCCCACTGTTATCAGCAATACCTGGTTGTGTACAACAAGATTTTGAACAAAGTTTTTACCATGAAATGATGCAAAAGGTCTCAGATGCAAAGTTTTTCAGAAATCGTTTGTATCAAATATGATACAAATGGCATTATAGGGTTAAAGGAATAACTTCTGTCTTTTGTTTTCTTTTAGTTGCTGTTTGTGATTTAAAAGCATCAAAGGGTTAAAATCTGTCAGTATCCTGAGCTCACCATCATTTTACACCACAAACCAGATCATTTTGTGTCTGTGGTGTTTGGACAAAATGGCCAAATCTGTTTCTTTGTGCTGGGTTGGTAAAGTTCAAGTTGAAGATACGAACAAAGAGAGGGTTTTGACCTTTGATTGTCCCATTTTTTCTCGTTCTTTATGAAGACCGAGATCAGATAAGTTCAGTTCAGGGTGTCATTAAAAATTAGAAAACTGACCGTGCTCGTGATTTGTGCTGGAGCTCTGGGGGGGGCTCTGTGACCGGGCCGACCTAAAACATGGAGAATCAAACAGTTTAAAACCAGAAAGTTCAACGCTGATGTTTTGATTTAGAGATGTGAGCAAAAGGACTGATTTACTGACCTGAGGAAGGAGAAACCTGTGAACAAACACAGTTATTTTAGACAACATTCTCTTTCAATTCCATTGATATGACGCAAAAATCAAAACAAATAGAGAATACAGGGTGACTCAAGCCGATTGGAATCCAATTTGTTTCCATAATGAAAAAAATTGACGACTTTGTATGTACCTGTGTGATGGAAAAGGATTTAAATAGGCCAATTGTCACGAGGGGTGGATCTTAGGGAGGACTCAGTCGCGGAGATTCGTGAAAACAGGGTTTAATGTAACAAAAGGCAGTCAAACGGAGTGGATGAAGACAAGGTTCAAAACAAGGCTGTGACAAAAACTATGATCAAAGTATCAAATAAAGTAAACAAAACTGTGGAAAAGTATCAAAACAAGACTATGGCAAAAGTACAAACAAGATTAACATGGCTGTGGCAAAAACAAGGCTATGGCAAGGCTGTGACAAAAATAAGACTATGGCACAAAAAATAAGACTATCGAAAAGTGCATAAATCAAAACCTTACGTGGCGAGGGGTGACGAAAAGTGACGAAGGACAAAAACGGACTGGCACAGGACATGGGAAACGAGGACTATTTAAACACATGAGGGAGGGGAACCCCAGGTGTACACAATAGGTAATCAAGACATGACGAGACACCAGACATTCCCCCAGACGTTACTCCAATGTGAAGAAGGAAACAACAAATCTCACCTTTTGAATGCTTGCATCTATAAAACAAGAGCAGCAGAACCAAAACAAAGACTCCAACAACAACAGCTCCAACGACCATCAGAACAGGAAAGGAGGAGCTCTCAGCTCTGGAAACACCTCCTGTACACAACAGATGAGCAGACTCATCCACAGGAAGGTTTCATCCTCCAGCTGTGAAGGAGCCCTGCTGACCTTTGACTGAGACCCAGCTCTGTGTTGAACTCTTCCCTGATGCTTCACACCAGTAGAAACCTTCATCTGACTGGGACACAGCAGAGATGTTCAGCTCCTCTCTGCTGCCATTCTCCACCAGTTTGGCGTCGTGGTAGAAATCCACT